TGGAACTTCCTCAGCCAGAGGTGGCTCCCTGAGGGCCAAGTCTTTAGACCCTTGTACACTTTTTAGAATATTTTATTTTACTCTCAGATTTGGTATTGACTTATGGTATTGACATGTAGTCAGTCGCACATCTAGTAATTTGTGCAACTATAATACGTACTTTTCACTTTTGCAATTACTATTTACATATTTGTTACTACTTATTCAAAGCAAATTCCTAAACAATTTTATGCAGTAAATTTACATACAGGGTGAGTTTTCTCAATGTGTCAATAATTTGTAGGTAGTTTGGGCACCCCAAGGCGATCATTTTCTACCAATGAACTAGTGGGCGCAAACGTCTAAGTACGGAGATAATAGGTGTTTTGTAATTGGCCTTCGCGCCTGCGAGGTAGGCACCCTCAGCCACTGATGGTCGCAGGACCCCGCGTGGGGGTGTCGCGGGTCTAGGAGGGGTGCTTCGAGTCTCGTAGGGGTGCGGCGGACCTTGCAAATGTCTTTTTGGAGGGGTTGCCGCGGGTCTGAAGAGGCTGTCATGGTGGCCCCCGTTACAGTGGATCTCACGGCTGTCTTTGCGAGGGTGGCGGGATTCCTCAGATACTTCCGCGAGATCAGTGGCAGGGTGATTCCGTGCGTAGAGGGTCATTTTGGATGTACCAATTTTTAGGCACGAAGTAGCCTTATAGTATACCCAGGATTCAGCCGGCCCGAGATTCAATTTGTGTGGCCCTTTATGCATTTCGGAAATTTTCTATACGATTTTAATGAGACTTTGCAGACTTGTAGAACTTTGAACGCTGATTCTCATGCTGAAATCTGGTTAAAAAGTTGGTGGCCAATTTTGAGAAATTTGCTGTCAAAATCGCCGTTTCCATGGCAAAACTCGACTCGTCAAAGGAAAAAAAAAGGGAGTGGGGGGAGCCGAGCCGGGGCGGACCAATAGCCGAGCTTCTTTTTGGGTCTGTACAGCTTACTCCAAAAGCAGAAATCAGCACGTTCGAAATGAAAAATTTCTTTGACTGCAGGTAGACAAAATGCAACAATAGAATTGGTGTCGGTTCGAACGCAGTTTTTCGGGTAAAACTATCCAATACCGTAAACCGGGGTAACTTGAGACAGCAAGGGTAACTTGAGACACTTCTGCTTTTCCACCTTTTTGGAGCTGCCAACTGGCTCAGCACATTCCGAGGTCAAAACTGCCCCAGCACTTTTTTTCATACTTGTTTGGAAAGACGATTAAGCGTTTGAATGGCGGGTTAGGACCAAGCTGGTCAGTTCTATAACGATTTTTCAATTTTGGTAAATTTAACAAATTTAGAGAAGTGTTATAAGTCTCCCTTGGTACTCGAAACACGTCTTGCTGAGACCCAATTGGCCGTAGTATCTTTCAATCCTATTATTTTAACATTCTAAATGCAGCATTGGTTTTGAGGGACACCCATCATTCATCGAGTGACTTTCATAGAAAATGGTAACTGTGCGGGGTAACTTGAGACACCAAATTTCATTGAATTGGACGGGAGTTGAGTGGCGTAACTTGACACTTGGACCTCCTTGTACTACAGGGTGGTTTAAAGTAACGGACCTCTCCGTTCTAAGATCAAAACTAAGCCGCATTTGATCAGGAATCACTTTTTTAGACAGTGTAGAGGGTTCCAAGTGGATATGCAGCTTAAAGTTGGAGTGTTTTCTCAACTACTCACGGACCAGATGAGACATAATAAATCTTGAAGTTTCAAAAGATGGAGAATTTGATTACCTTTCCAACGAGCTAAATGTCATTGAAATCGGACAACTTATAGCCCAAGAACCGTCGATTTTTCGAAGAAAAACAACTAAAAATAGTTAAAGGATTTTGAATAAATTTTAAAAATTGACTAAGACTATATACCTTTGCAGGAATGGACTTGTGTACGTAGAAATAAAGAAAAATGTCTTAGCAGGTGTCAGGGTTGGATGCGAAATGAGAGAATCGCTGTACTTAGTTGACAGGGTTGGATGTGAAATGGGAGAATCGTTGCGATTCTGAAGTGCCGTTATCCCTCAAATTACCAAATGTTACTTTGATGGAAAAATCTTAATATAAGGATCAAAAATCTTCTAATATATTCCACAAGTAGTTCTTTTCATTGAAAATAAGTTAAATGTCTCAGAAAATCAGTATGGACTGGCAAAAACCCCACTTCCGTCAAAAAGCAAAGTAAAAACTAGGTGTGTCTCAAGTTACCCCAAATGACGGGGTAACTTGAGACAACTTTAGAGGCCCATTACTCTCATTTTAGGTGACCCCCAAAAACTTCATGGGGTCCAAACCGAATGTTAACATGTGAAATTAAACATAGTTGGGATTCAGGTTGGTGAGAGAAGTGTTGTGGACACACGGTCCAAAAAACGTGAAATATTGTCTCAAGTTACCCCGGTTTACGGTAATACTTCTTGATTGGAGTGTTTTTGGACATGCGCAGTAGGTTTGCAACCTGTTTAACAGTTTAACCAACTGTAGCATTTGAAATCTGTATTAATTTTGCTCTCTTTCTTGTTTTTTCTTTGTTTCCTGCTTTTGAAAAATCATATAAAACAAATTTTCAATTTTTGTGCGATGACTTTCTAAAAAAATATTCACAGAAAATTAGCCATACAAAAGTTCTTTTTTTCTGACATATAGTTTCTCAAATATTCCTTTTTTTCTGTCAATAAAACAATTTTGTTGTTGTTGTAATTCAGTTAGCACTAGGACCACTTCGCTCCACCTCGCGACTTGCAGTGCTCATGTTCCTCGAACAAGACTCACCCGCGTTTCGAAACCATCCCTCCCGAGTTTATGAAGTTTGTCAAACCAACCGTCGTGGTGTTGATACGTTGTAAGGGAGAACTATTACACAGAATTGAAGAAAACATGACTAGAGAACCACAGCCTTTTGAAACAAGCCAAACAATTCAACGTCAGCAACAATGGATGGGCAGTTTTAATGCGCGACTGCTGGTGCTTTCAGCTTCGCGATTTTCGCAAGGGCGCAGACGCCGAGAAACTAGTTGCCAACCCGTGAAAATAAATTTACTGCCTTCTTTCTGCCAAGAACATTTTAATAATGATGGACTTTAAAGAAGTTCCATTGTTAGAACACTGCGGAATACATTAGCATTGGAATTTTTTGAATTTACCAGCATTTTGATTTCTATTGTCAAGTTTAAATTTCGACGGGTGGCACATCGACCACATTGGTACCACTGCCATTGGTAGTCCCCTGAGCCACGACTTCACAACACCACTTCTTTTCTTCCTCCACACTCTTACACAATAATCAAATTGACTTCGTGACTCCTAGGATTTCTTGAAATCGTATTTTTTTTAAAGTTCAACTTTAGGGGCTAAATTTGGTGTAGATGGCATACATAGTACCCCACAGTATCCCTCTGAGCGTGGCAGCGCTACAAGTTGACTTTTAATTTCATCCCTATGAAATACGGCGGAATTTACAGAAATAATGACGGAATTTACAGATTGCGGAATTTACAAAGCGAAGTGTTTAGTCTCCTGACCCGCTGGGTTACAAGATAGGTAAAAACTGTTGACGGTGTCATTTTGAGCATCCCAAATAGCGTTTTTCAGCGGAGGTTGTGGGAACTTTCTCCCTCAGATGGAGGAGCTACGGCCCGAAACGGAATTTACATCTATTTTTACACCCTTACCGTTTTTAACAATTCTGACGGCCTGGAAGCGTCGTTTGACCGCCCCAGGTCCCGCGGGCACGGGCTTCTGGCAGCGTTTTTTTATGTTCTTTCGATCCCAAGTGGTCGCGAGGTTCTTAAACGAAAAGGAACCCCAGTAGACCGTCAGTTGTGAAAGCAGCATAGGTCACATGGTCACACGGTGGACATTTTCCCATAGGCTGTTTCGGGTTCAACAAGTGATGATACAAAGGTCACCTTCCGTATTTTTGTGAAGAATAAGTCAGGGAAGAGAGTGAAATAGCCAGGTTTCTTTTGATGTGGCTCAGTCATATACTACAGCATGGCAATGTTGTCTTATAGTTGTTGGTGACCATGACGGAACTTACAAAACGACACTTTAGCAGCTTACAAAACCTAGAAAAACAAAAGTTAGATTGACTTATCCACATGAGGACATGGTCTTCATTTAGTAAAACAAATTTGAATTGCCCTAGCTACCAAATCACCCTTAGTTCAGGCGCAAGGCCACGGTGACCTGAAATGACCCCCTACGCACGGAATCACCCGGCACTCCCGCGAGTACTGCTAGTCCCGCGACACCCCCTCGACAGGTCCTGCCGCCCTCAGTGGCACCGGGTGCCTACCTCGTAGGCGCAAAATCCAATTACAAAACACCAATCATCTCCGTACCTAGACGTTTGCGCCCACTAGTTCACTGGCGAAAAATGGTCCTTTAGGGATGCCCAAACTGCCTGCAAATTATTGACACATTGAGGAAACTCACCCTGTATGTATATATAAGAAGAAATTTCTTCTTTTATTTTTGTAGGCAATAGTACCTGGTTAATGACGACATGGTCAGTAGGTGCTGAGAGTGTATACTGCCATGACGTTGCATCGAAGCCATCATCTCTGAAATGTAATTAGAGCGTTGCGGTTATTCTCTGGTAACTGAAGAATGTTTGTGGCCGACTCTTTAAGATACAACCTGAAGCCAGACTTGGAGGTTGACACCTACAACCGTCAATTTGACTTCCGTTCCACCGGAACCCAATCCCTCCCCTCATTCCAAAGTGAAACCAAGCAGTACAAATTGCGATCTGGGAACGCCAATGCATTGCGAATTAGTTCAGAACTATTATCATGTCAAATTCTGACTGTGATATTCGACTATTGCCTTTCATCCATGTCGCGTTATGGTCTGCTTCCACGGTAATACCTTATCATTAACGTCAACCTTGAGACCTTGATTCAAGTTTTTAAAGTTAGCGAAGGTAACCAACGACAAGGTGACACTGCGTCAAAACTGTGCAGGCTGAGCTGCCGGCCCAGTCCTTGCTGCCCGTCCTCGTCTTCTTCCACGGTGGGGGGCTTATAGTAGGCACTGGCACCAGGAACATGTACGGCCCCGACTACCTGATGGACCGCGGCCTCGTCGTTGTCGTTCCTAACTACCGCCTGGGAATATTCGGTAAGCGGGGAGTTCTTACTGACAAAGCAAGGGCCGCATCTTACGTCAGAGCTATGTCTCGTGAAATTTAGTTCCTCTACTGCTGTTCACTGCGAATCGAGCTGCGAATGGTCGGTGCTACACTGAATAACCAAATGTGGTCTATACCGCACCCACTGGTGTGGTCAAATGGGTGCCGTTTTGACCGCACCAGTTGGTGTCGCCAGACCACGTTTAGTGCGTTTGGTGTGGTCATTGCGTGGAAAAACCACACGAAACGTGGTCTAGACCACACCAAACGTGGAAACGTGGTTCACGTTGCAAGGGTTACGAACTTCTTCGAGAGTATTGAAACCAAACCTCTGCCTGGCAAACGCTATGCACTTCTCGGGATAACATAAAGTTTAAGGCAGCTTTGGCTTTTTGCCCCTACCTATAGCCCTCAGTAAATCTAAGTGAAAATTACCAAAAATGTACACGCTTATCATCTTCCGTTGGTTTTCGTGCGTAATACGATGATTTTCCATCGTAAGGTACGACCAATTTCTAACCTGCATAATACGCACGAATGTCAACGTAAGGTACGTTGGTTGCGATTGTAGTACGATGACATTTCAGCGTAATACGCATGTTTTGATTTCAGCGTATGTTACGTTCGCGTCACCATCGTAAGATGATATGTGTGTAATAATTCAGTAACAAAGTTAACTTAGGTGCACGCCAGACCATAGCTTGTAACGCTTCGCAATGCTGCGCCAGTGCTGACAATTCGCGCCTGTCCTTTACAGCTACTTACGTTGCCCTGTGGCGGCATGCGGTGCTCGCTTGCCTTCTAAAGGCCCCTGCGCCTGCGCTAGACATCCCGCTCCAAATCCAAAAGAATCTTTTTGGCGATACGATTGAGTATCACCGACACGAACGAAAGTATCGCTAAAATTTGGCGATTCTTCGAAGCTTGGCAAACTTTGGCAAAAACATTGGCAACTCTAATTGGCCCAACAAGATCACTACGGATCATCGTGAACTCAGACCCTTTGGGAATACTTTTCTGCACTCCCTTTTTAACAGGTGGTGCCAGGGGGTGGCAACGGCCTCGGGAGAGCGTGAAGCGATGCTCGCGCCGTCAGCGCAGAGGTTGCGAACTTGTTCGAGATCATGAAATCTAGACAGTGTTTTTCAAAACGCTTTGCACCAAAGGAAAGTGCTTGAAACTTAGGGTGCATTAAGCTAATTGCTCTTCTCGAAACTCCCCTCTGACTTTCTATTAAGGTGCAGTAAAATCACTGAAAAACACGAGAAATCATAAAATTCAGGAAAAACTCGAATGCGCCATGTTGAAGTAAATGATTCCGCCCTTGTGTTCGGTTGAATTGGAAGTATCGGGCAGTCTTCTAGGCCTAATGCACCTTAAATTTTGTGCTCTTTTGATCTGCGCAAAGCGTTTTGCAATCAACGGGCTAGATCTTCCAATCGAAGCAAAATAAGCAACCCCTGCACCTCCCTCGCGCATGGCTTCACGCGCTTCCTAGGCCGTTGCCGCCCCCTGGTGGTGCATTGCTGCTTTCCAACATTTTGGTGCATGTTCAGTTTGCCCATGTAATAACTTCTTAATTTCATCAAAACACATGTGTCCTGAACGACGGTGCCATAAATCAAGTGGTTGGAGCTCACTCTGAACATCAAGAAAAGTCAAGTTGCAAAAAGTTGAGTTGATTCGGAAGTTGGCCATAAAAGAAGAGTTAAATCCCATTCAATTCTTGAGCTTTTAGTGTAAGATCTCACTTTGAACCATTGATTTCGCAAACAGTAGAATAAAAATTAATCTGAAGGCCCATTTAAGCAAGGGCAGCAACTTATATGAGGTTTGCGGATAAATCTGGCACATGCGTCCGTCTGCCTCAGGTTTCCTTAGCAGCAACACATCGGATGCTCCCGGCAATGCAGGACTCAAGGACCAGGTGCAAGCTCTCCGATGGGTGCAGCAAAACATACGGATTTTTGGCGGCGACCCAGCAAGAGTCACCATTTACGGCGAGTCAGCAGGCGCCACGTGCGTGCACTACCACGTCTTGTCACCGCTGTCTGCTGGTAGGATGTCAAAGAGCTATAGGGTCTTCCCATTGACAAGGTGCAATCTTCGTGCCAAATTTGGCACACTGCAAGAAAAGTTGTGAATGGTACTACAACGAACACTGCAAAATAATTCCGTGGTTTGGTACGGACAGTGTACGGAAAAGATACGGTCCTTCCGTACGGGTTCTCTGTGGTCTCCATAAGGATCTCATGTAAACTGGTGCGGCAAACATGTACAGAACTTCCGTGGTTGGCAAGGTACGGACGGTCCAGGTCAAAACTTGACCAGACACGTTCCGTACTATTTCCGTACTTTTTTCTACCATAGTGTATTGTTGCATGCCCGCGGGCAACGTTACGCTTTGATAAGTCACGTGATTGATTACTGACAGCCCCTGACTTGTTTTTGTCTCCTAATTCTACGACGATCAAAAGTCGCTGGCGGGAGGGTGACTGCAGTGCCGTTTTGGTGAGGTAGGTGCTCCGAAACGGACCGAGCGCCACCGAAACTAGACCGATCGTCGCCGAAACAAACAGAGGGCCGACAGAATGGTGTCAGGGTGTCGCTGTTCTTGTAATTTTCTAGTTTTGGTGCTAAGACGTCACCGAATCCGCGAATCTGTTTTTAATGTGCGGACATTGCAGAAAGTACAACGAGACTTGTACATACCAGAACGAGGTCTGGACGTCACTCCACTCGTCATGCCTGTTCCAATGTACTTTGTACAACTGTTAAGTCCCTTTCTGAGTGTGTAGGAGAACGGGGGAACAAACTGACAAGTCGAGGCTTGCTGGTAGAATGAATCTCTGCGGAAGGCGAGCCACTGGGAGTGGGGGTGTGCTTTGGTTGACCGCCACTGGGGGCGCTAGTGTCAAGCTTATTGAAAGTATAAACCTCATTATATGAAGTCACAATTATTTACAGTACTTTAAGATACAGCACTCCTCCCCCCAAATGGCTTTCCCTCGCGACCCTTATTTATCAAGAACCTATAAAGCCCCAATCCGACTGACTCACTGACTGACTCACTGACTCACTGACTCATAGAAATGTTTGGGGTGAAGGAGTGGTCGTAGAGACTTGCGGTTTTTTCCATTCGATTCCAAATTTTATGGGAAAATTGGGAAAAATCCCAAAAGTCGAAAATTCCTTACCGTTTCCGAGAAAACCTACTTTATCTACAAAAAAGGGGAACAAATTTCTCACCGTTTCCGAGCAAACCTACTCAATCTTCAAAAAAGGGGACCGACCGACTAGAAATTTTTATTCGCCCCATCGGTAGGTCTGGTCGAGACATTTCCGAATCTGTGCCGCAATCCGGTCTCCGTCACTGGCAACATCCTCAAAAAACGATTAAATAGGCCTAAATTCAACAAAATCCACTCAATCTTCAAAAAAGGGGACCGACCGACTAAAAATTTTTATTCGCCCCATCGGTAGGTCTGGTCGAGACATTTCCGAAACTGTGCCGCAATCGGGTCCCCGTCACCGGCAACATCCTCAAAAACGATTAAATAGGCCTAAATTCAACAAAATCTACTCTATCTTCAAAAAAGGGGACCGACCGACTAAAAATTTTTATTCACCCCATCGGTAGGTCTGGTCGAGACATTTCAGAAACTGTGCCGCAATCGGGTTCTTGTCACCGGCAACATCCTCAAAAACGATAAAATAGGCCTAAATTTAACAAAATCCACTCAATCTTCAAAAAAGGGAATCGTCCGACTAAAAATTTTTATTCGCCCCATCGGTAGGTCTAGTCGAGACATTTCAGAAACTGTGCCGCAATCGGGTCCCCGTCACCGGCAACATCCTCAAAAACGATTAAATAGGCCTAAATTCAACAAAATCCACTCAATCTTCAAAAAAGGGGACCGACCGACTAAAAATTTTTATTCGCCCCATCGGTAGGTCTGGTCGAGACATTTCCGAAACTGTGCCGCAATCCGGTCTCCGTCACTGGCATCATCCTCAAAAAAACGATTAAATAGGCCTAAATTCAACAAAATCCACTCAATCTTCAAAAAAGGGGACCGACCGACTAAAAATTTTTATTCGCCCCATCGGTAGGTCTGGTCGAGACGTTTCCGAAACTGTGCCGCAATCGGGTCCCCGTCACCGGCAACATCCTCAAAATCAATCATCAATTGTCATCAAGAACCTATAAAGCCCCAAAATCCGACTGACTGACTCCCTCACTCATCAATCAAGAACCTATATAGCCCCAATCCGACTGACTGACTCACTGACTCACTCACTCACTCATAGAAATGTTTGGGGTCAAGGAGTGGTCGTAGAGACCTAAGGTTTTTTTCCTTTCACCTCTATCCTTGTCAAAGCAGTCTTCAATATTTTCCGGACCTTGTATGCACCCATTGACTGCCACAGTAGCCAGTGCAATACAAGCTATGTATTTGGGCAGTAAAAGTAGCCTTATTATATGGTCAAAAGCGGTTAAATAGAGCTTTCAAAGAAGCAGGACATTTACTTCCTAAGAAAATTTGCCTTTGGTCACCACGGACTTACTAAATACTCCGGCACGCGCTCCACACATGCGGGGGTCTGGGGGCGGAGCCCCCAGCGAGCAGCGCGAGTTATATATAATTACAAGAACACTGTACAGATTGGTACGCTTGACAATTATAGACAATACAATTGAATACAAACTAAACATATAAATTTGGGTTTACTTCAACCCTAAATAAATCAGACCAATTGAGATCAAACGTCAAAAATCAGACCAATTGAGATCAAACGTCAAAAATCAGACCAATTGAGATCAAACGTCAAAAATCAGATCAATTGAGATCAAACGTCAAACTATGTTTTTCTTTAACAATGAGCTTAGTGTAATTTTACACAGTCCTAATTTCTGCTTAAGTCCATAGGGCTTTCGCCCTGTTTTACTTGTTGAGGGCCGAAACCCTTTGGGTCAGAGAAGGCCTGAGGGCTTGAGCCCTGGTAATAGCCTGCTTCCTTGTCAATTGCTGCCGCAGGTCTTCCCTGCCTTGCTGGCCGCGGTGCTGTTGGAGGTATCTCGGGTTTGGTCTTCTCTCCCTTTGCGGGTGCACCCGCCGCTCCTCCCCCTCCGCGGCCGCTGGGGCCTGGGCCCGCTGGTTCCTTGTTGTGGAGGGTTGCACCCCTTGGCTGTGGCGCCTCGCTGTAGGCTGATGGTTGGCGCCCCGGCCTTGGGGTGCTCCACCGCGGCCCCGTTGCGCAGAGGGCGGACGTCCCGCGTCGCTGCTCCTTGCGTCTTGGGTCTGAGGGCCGGATTGGGGTCCGCGACACCTAAAATCCTATCGAGTACTTACGAGTGCTTTTAACTGTCGGCATGACGCTGCTCATTCTCTGTCACCCCTCCCCTCAAGGTTTGTTCAGTGGCGCTATACTATCAAGCGGTGCGGTCCAGTCAGGAGTGTACCAAGACAAGGATTACGACCTACTGCGAAGGGCCATCAAGTTGTATGGCGGCCCCAGCAGTAGCAGCCCGACGGCCATGGTCAACTTTCTGAGGACTATACCAGGCCTCGTCTTATCCGGCACCTACTCGGAAGTGACGACAGACGAAGTAAGCAATAGTCGGGATGTGCATTATTAGGATCTTTGACATGTCGCCCACGAAACTGAACTTGCGTTTCAAAACGTACGAATTTGTGTCACATTCGTTTGAATGTAGGGTCTGTAAAGTTGAACCATGCGCATGTTTGCTTGCTTGCATGCATGCATGGCGGATCGCTAAGGAATCCACTCAGACGGCTATTGTTTCCATCTGGCATGACTTCAGAAGAAATTTTTAGCCCTAAGAAATGTGTCAGAATTGATAGCAGTGCTTTCAAAGTGGTATTTTTAGCGCGGCGCTCCGGGTCTGGAAAGTTAATCCATGCACATGGATGCTTGCATGCATGCATGGGTTGCGGATCGCCACGGAATCCATATAGAAATGTGTTGTTTTCATCCGACAGGAGTTTAATGCTCCTAACATATTAGCATACAAGATAAAGGACAGTTTGGAAGAGCGCTAGCGACAGCGCGGGAGTGCGCGCGCATTCAAGCAAACGGCGGTGCGTAGCGCTGAAAAATACCACTTAAAAAGCACTGTTATCAATTCTAACACACTGTCAGAAAATTCCGAAAAAAATTGAAAAATCATGGAGTTTTTCCGAAACTTCTGCATGGAGCTCTCCATAAATGCAAATTCTGGTCTTTCACCGAAAAGTTTCGGAGTTTTGAACAAAAATGCATGCTTCACTATCACGAAAACACGAATGAAAGGTTTGCAACCAGTTTAAAAAATGAGGGAAAGGTGAACCCCTACCGAAATTTTATGGAGAATAACTATAATCACGTTCATGGAGACTCCTCTCATTTGCCATCTTTTATCGGAGAGATTTTCTCAGGGATTAAACAGATGTTCTTCGGAGCATTACTTGGGTCCTGATTGGAGATAAAATGCATGTCTTTTCTCAGATATGTTAAAGAGGACTTTGCTGAAGCATTCTCTAGTCTGAAATGGTTAAAGAAGGGACATCCTTCGAGCTCATTTGACTTATTGCCTGAGCGATAGCGAAGCCTGTTACTCCAGTGCGGTTGAAAAGTTTTGTCTGTCTGTCTGTGTGCGTGTGTACACTACTCCTTCTGAACGGCTCGGCCGATCTGGCCGAGATTTAGCAGGCTTATTAGGTATGTTCTTGGCTCGGCACACGCGAAATTTCACCATCCTAGCTCTACTGGTTCAGTTTTTATAGCCGAAAAACACCTAAAAAACGGCGAAAAATCAAGTTTTCTGTCGGTAGACCCCTCCTGTCTGGATGAAAGGGGGGTCTGGGGGGCGGAGCCCCCCACCGTCGACAAGTTGAAAAGCCTGTTACAAGGGTCAACATCTGTCGTAAATTCCGTAATAAAATTAAAAATCATGAATCCGAAAGGGTCTGGGGCGGAGCCCCCACATGCAATTCGTTTTCACGAAATATTCGTGATTTGGATAAAGCATTGTTCCTGCCGAAGGCAGCTAGTGCAACCAGTTCTCAATGGTAAGGTAACGCCTAGGCGCGAAATTAGGAGGAACATGGCAGTCGAGACACTCCGAAGCCTGTTACGGCAGACGGTCTCGGGTTAAACCATTCTTGATCCTTACTTTCCTATGAATATACAAGGCAGGTTTACGCCAGACGCGTATGTTAAGAGGACTTTGCTGAAGTTCTCTAGTCTGACTGGTTACAAGAGTGGTACATACCTTGAGCCTGGCTATGCCTGCCATCGCAAGCATTGGTCTCCAGTCGGTTGACTTCTTCGTGTTGCATGTGTGGGGCTCACGTACTCCTTCGACCCCCCTTGAATTCTAGAGCTAAGGTTGCTTATCGACAGCAAACACCATCCTGACGCTCTCTGGTAAGTTTTTATTGTCCGAGTCCCTAAAGGCGAGCAAAATCCAGCTCCCGTAGACCCCTCTTTCTTAAGAACAGAAGGTCTGCGCGAACACGTCGACATTTTCAAGCGTTTTTTAAGGTGTTAATTTGTATAAAAGCACCCTACTAGGATGAGTGAAGATTCGGGGCGAGCCAAGGACATACCAGTTCAATAATGCTGGACAAGCATCTCAGCCGATGGCCAGCCGTCAGGAGGGTAGTGTACCCACGACGGATGACAACAGACAGCAGACAGCGAAAAATTTTCACCAACCCTGGAGTAACAGGCTATCGCTATCCTGAGCTTCCTAATAAAAAAATGAGCCGAACAAGTAGGGGTTCACCTTTCCCTCATTTTTTACTGGCTGGAAACCTTTTTTTTCGTGTTTTCGCGATAGTAGAGCATACATTTTTGTTCAAAATTCCGAAACTTTTCGGAGAAAGCCCAGAATTTGCATTTATGGAGAGCTTCATGACACAAGTTTCGGAAAAACTCCATGATTTTCCCATTTTTCTCGGAATTTCGTGACAGTGTACTAAAAAGTACGTAGTAATTTAGTGTGTGGCTGCAGGACATGAAGCAGCTGGTGCCGAAGCTCTCTTGCCGTGCCGTGGTCGAGCCGCCGGACGGAGGGGAACCGGCCTTCTTCTCCGAGGACCCCAACGACCTCCTCGTGGCCGGCCGATACAATAAAGTACCCTTGATCATTGGCAGTAATTTCCGCGAGGGCACACTCTTCTTTGTCGGCAAGTTGTGTTCAGTGCATTGCAATCCGAACTGTCTTCTTGGGATGGGTGACCCTCTGTTAAATTTTGTGTACGATGATTGTTGCTGATGTCAGGCGTTTTTGCCACACGTTTCGTATATTCACCGGTGGTTTTAACACCTGAATGTGAAATGTGTTCCGATTTTGTAAAAGAAATGTGTGAAGTTGTTTCCATCTTCTCTACTTAGCACACACTTACATCAGGAATCTACGCCCAGTAAACTACAAGCGTGATCTACAAAATGAAGTGAGTACTCAGTATGCATTTCCAGATGCATACTTGCAAGTACACACCTAAAATCCATACCTGGCAGAGTACACATCTCAGATGCATCCCTAGCTTAGTACTCATCTAGAGATGCATACTTGGCTCAGAATACATACGTAAAATGCATACGTTATAGGTGTGTACTCCTACACTGTTAGAAATTAGCTCCGAAATTTTATGGAGAAAAACCCTATAATCACGTTCATGGAGACTCCATTCATTTTCCATTTTTTTCGGAGAGATTTTCTCAGCGCTTATATAGATGTTCTTCGGAGCATTCCTTGGGTCCAGATAGGAGGTAAAATGGAAGTCTTTTCTCAAATATATTAAAGAGTACTTCGCTGAAGCTTTTTTTTGGTCTGAAATGGTCAAAGAAGGGACAACCTCATTCGAGCTCATTTGACTTATATCCTGTAGCTTTCCCTTTATATTATGAAAACTGAGCTCAAAAAGTAGGGGTTCACCCTTCCCTCAATTTTAAACTGCTTGCAAACCTTTTTTTCGTGTTTTTGTGATAGTGCAGCATGCATTTTTGTTCAAAATTCCGAAATTTTTCGGAGAAAGCCCAGAATTTGCATTTATGGAGAGCTCCATGCAGAAGTTTCGGAAAAACTCCATGATTTTTCCATTTTTTTCGGAATTTTCTGACAGTGCATCTGTAGATGTGTACTCAGTTGAGTATGCATCTGTACTGAGTGCTCACTTCAGTTTTTAGAGTGCAATTTTAAGTGTTTACTTCCCAGGTAAGTTCCTGTAAGTGTGTACTAAGTAGACATGGGCAGACATATAGGTTTGCAGTGTGTGCGAGCGAAAACCCAATTGACTGATAATCGAACCTGACCAGGGATGACGATTACTACTGTCGTATAGGGTGCAGGTAACTGAATACACGGAAAATGCATTCCTGAAATAATATTCCACCCACTTCACTACCATCTAGAACTCAGAACAGGAACTAGCTAAATGGACCTATAAGGTGGCATGCCATAACCTGCCTGCGGCCTGGGTACCTTTCCACTCGCAACGAAAGCGATGCAATTAAGGAGACGAAATCTGTTCACTTCGCCCTCTTTTGTGGCCTTGTCAGCGAACACCGAATCGGGTCTGGACGCAATGCAGCGGGATCCGGGGATCCTGGTCCCCGGCCCGCTGGACAACCTTCTGGACGACGCTGGCCGACGCCAGGTGGGGCTGCAGATCAGAGACGTGTACTTGCGGGGCCGACCCATCAACAACGAGACGCTGCCTGAGGTTGTGGACGTAAGTCTGCCGTAGTCCGATCCCAACTCGAGGTGAACTAAACTAGGGGTACGGCCGTTTAGTTTGGGGGCGTAGTGGGCGAGCGATGCGTCTGAACACATTCTTATAGGAGATGGCGAAGATTATGTGCAAAATAAGGTCAATACAGGGTCTTCCATAACGAAAGGGCCGGACTTAAGGGGGCTCATACATGTTAAACACACTTTGTAAAAAATTTCTTTTGATGTAGATGGATTTAGATTTTACAATTTCTGTGTTAAAACCCTTTTGGATAATTGAGTAAGCTTCATTTTGGCTTAAAGGAAAGTGACTTTGGACATTTTTTGGAGATTTAGTCGAAACGTTTAAAATTTTGGTTCTCGTAAGATTTTGTTCGCATACTTGCTCAGATCTGTGGGGAAAAAATCAAGGAGACTCATCCCTAGTAGTGTCATAGAATTAACTACAATGGGCTTTATATCTGCAATAGTTTTCAAGAAAAAAAAATAAAAACATTTTTTTGTAAAAAATTTTGTTTAAAAAATTGTTAAAAAAATTGTTTTTACTTTTTTTTCTTGAAAACTATTGCAGATATAAAGCCTATTGTAGTCAAAATTCTATGACACTACTAGGGATGAGTCTCCCTGATTTTTTCCCCACAGATCTGAGCAAGTATGCGAACAAAATCTTACGAGAACCAAAATTTTAAACGTTTCGTCTAAATCTCCAAAAAATGTCCAAAGTCACTTTCCTTTAAGCCAAAATGAAGCTTACTCAATTATCTAAAAGGGTTTTCGCACAGAAATTGTAAAATCTTGATCCGTCTACATCAAAAGAAAATGTTTACAAAGTGCTTTTAACATGTATGAGCCCCCTTAATGTCATTTTCGTGATTATCTTACTGAAAACTGCAGGAGACAATGGGAAACTCAACTTTGAAATTTTGGTCACAAATTGGTAAATTTTTTGGAAAAGAAAAGGTCTGGGATGAAATTGGAAGTCATTTTCGTGATCAGCACACCAAAAACTGCAGGAAAGTATGGAAAACTCGACTCGAAAATTTTGGGAAAAGTGAAGGTCTGGGATGAAATTGGAAGTCATTTTCGTGATCAGCACCCCAAAAACTGCAGGAAACTATGTAAAACTCGACTTGAAAATTTTGGGAAAAGTGAAGGTCTGGGATGAAATTAGAAGTCATTTTCGTGATCAGCACACCAAAAACTGCAGGAAACTATGTAAAACTCGACTTAAAAATTTTGGGAAAAGTAAAGGTCTGGCATGAAATTGGAAGTCGTTTTCGTGATCAGCCAGCACACCAAAACCTGCAGGAACTATGTAAAACTTCTAGGGCTCTGCTTTCAGCATCTTTCGAAGTCGAGGAGAGACAGTCATCTCATCAACCATGTCAATAAATTTTCTTTTTCACAGAATAAGCAAAGAGGCGTTTGCCTTCTGAGTTTTTGTCAGTTGGCTTTTTATATTCATGACCATACGCCTATACTGAAATGCTGTTCTGACAATTTTCTTTGCATCATCTGACATGGAGGAGGGATTGACCCCACTCATAGAGGCAAGCTTCTTCTGACTCATCCTGGATTTAGGAGTGTGAGAACGATCACGTGCTCCTAAAGTTTCAGTTGATCCTATAATCATGCAAAGGAAAAAAGTTGAAAAATAGGTAAGGACCAAAGTAGAAGAAAAAAAATTGAGTGAGCACTTCTTACGTCTTCTAGCCTCCACCACTTCACAGACGACAACTTTAGCAGGGGGCTCCAAGTGCTTCAAATCTAGATCTGGAGCCTCCTCATCCTCCTCACGAAGTCGTTTGCCTTCCAGAAAATTGAAAAGTAAGGAGTATAAAAATCAAATTTAGGGCTAAAACTTCCCATATTGCAGCCCCTACCCAAAAGCAAATTTTAAAAAATACGATTTCAAGAAATCCTAGGAGTCACGAAGTCAATATGGTTATTGTGTAGGAGTGTGGAGAAAGGAAAAAAGTTGTGTAAAAGGGATAGGGGGTGGTTTGGGTACGAATGGCAGTGGTACCAGTGTGGTCGATGTGCCACCCGTCAAAATTTAAACTTGGCAACAAAAAGAACTCAAAATGCCGTAAAATTCGAAAAATTCCAATGCTAATGTATTCCACAGTGGAACATCTTTGAAGTCAATCATTATTAAAATGTTCGTGGGGGAAAGGAGGCAGTAAATTAATTTTCGCGGGTTGGCAACAATCTTCTCGGCAACTGCGCCCTTGCGAAAATAGCGAAGCCGAAAACACGACTGTTAGAAATTAGCTCCGAAATTTTATGGAGAAAAACCCTATAATCACGTTCATGGAGACTCCATTCATTTTCCATTTTTTTCGGAGAGATTTTCTCAGCGCTTATATAGATGTTCTTCGGAGCATTCCTTGGGTCCAGATAGGAGGTAAAATGGAAGTCTTTTCTCAAATATATTAAAGAGTACTTCGCTGAAGCTTTTTTTTGGTCTGAAATGGTCAAAGAGGGGACAACCTCATTCGAGCTCATTTGACTTATATCCTGTAGCTTTCCCTTTATATTATGAAAACTGAGCTCAAAAAGTAGGGGTTCACCCTTCCCTCAATTTTAAACTGGTTGCAAACCTTTTTTTCGTGTTTTTGTGATAGTGCAGCATGCAATTTTGTTCAAAATTCCGAAATTTTTCGGAGAAAGCCCAGAATTTGCATTTATGGAGAGCTCCATGCAGAAGTTTCGGAAAAACTCCATGATTTTTAAATTTTGTTTCGGAATTTTCTGACAGTGCGAGTAGTCGCGCGTTCAAACTGCCCCGCCATTGTTGCTGACGTTGAATTGTTTGGCTTGTTTCAAAAGGCGGTTCTCTAGTCGTGTTTTCTTCAATTCTGTGTAATAGTTCTCATTCACAACGTAACAACACCACGACGGTTGGTTTGACAAACTTTATAAACTCAGGAGGGATGGTTTCGAATCGCAGATGAGTCTTGTTCGAGGAACATGAGCACTGAAAGTCGCGAGGTGGAGCGATGTGGTCATCGTGCTAACTGAATGAAAAGAACCATCAAACAAAAACTAGAGCTAAGACAGAGCTAAGAAGTATAATTTTGTTTTGTTGATTCAGTAAAGAGTTGACAAATGAAAAAATTGTTCTATTTTTTCAATATTTTTAAATCTTTTCTTCAACATGTGTCCTCAAAATATATTCAGATATAATGTCATAATTTAAACAGATTAATTTTGTGGTAGAAAATACACATTGAAAATAAAACACAAAACTCACAATGAGTGTAGGTTTCCATGTTGGTATGACTGTGTAATGTTCCGCGCATGAGCAAAGACATTCCCATTAAAAATTTTCATCAGGCAGTGCCAATGAAAAGACTGCGTCCAAAAAACCCTCTTGTGCGTTACATCTGTTCTATCACAGTCGCGGAAAGTTTTTTTATTCGAACGTCCTTTTTTAAAGAAGCGACCGTTTTTGGGGTAACCTGTACACAAGCGAAAAGGAGCCATGCTATTGGTTGGGTTTGGCTCGGCTCCCCCCTCTCTCTTCCCTTTTCGTTGACGAGTCGAGCTTTGCTATGGGAACAGTGATTTTGACGGCAATTTTCTCAAAATTTATCGCAAAGATTTCAACCATATTCCAGAATTGAAATCACGTCTCAGAATTCTACCAGTCTGCAAAATCTCATCAAAATCGTACTGAGAGGTTTCGACTTGCATAAGGGGCCACGCGATCAAATCCCAGCGAGGCTGAATCCTGGGGGATACTATAAGGCTACTTCGTGCCTAAAAAATTACCGAGTATACTAATTTGGCTGAGCGATAGCGAAGCCCGTTACTCAGGTGGGGTTGAAAAGTTTTATTTGAAAGGTTATTGAAAGGTCTTATCACCATTCGGTAAGTAATTGGCTGAGCGATAGCGAAGCCTGTTACTCCAGTGGGGTTGGATAGTAGGGTGGATCTTAAATTCTGACCCCCGGTTTTATTGGCGAAATGGGGTCCCTAGGATAGTAGAAGATCGTTAACGAGTTGCATTTGATCCGTAAAAAATTGTATCAGCTTTAGGGGAGGGCTCAAAACTGGGTCAAAACGCCTAAGTTGGTGGTTTTTCAAGTATTGCCGCCGAACCAGATGAAATATCAAAACGCCTGAGGTCTGAAAAGATGCGGAATTTAATTACCTTTCCAACGAGCTATGAGTCATTGTTGCAGCACAAATATTTCCACTTGAATCATTGCATTTTATGCCGAAAAGTGGGGTCAAAAATATTAAAATCAGTCCAATTTCGGTAGGGTGGAGTTCTAAAATTGGCCGAATCGACATCTCTTCAAAGAAATGGATGGGTCTCAACAAGACAAACAAAAAATGTCAACACATGTTATAGGCTAAGATGCGAAATGAAGCAGTATTTTAGCCTCAAAAGTGCCAAAAATCTTCGTTTTTCCACCAAAAAGGACATTTAGCGTGATTTTTTCGGGGTCTAAGGAGCTTTGGTCACGAACCTGCTGGGAGTCCGGGACTTTTCCTTTCAGATTTGAGTTAAGGTGGTCCCGGCTCACCTGGAAACCGAGTTTGGTCAAGTTCCGGCCAGCCGGCTGGCCCTTTTGATGGAAAAAGGATGATTTTTGGCACTTTTGAGGCTAAATTACTGCTTCATTTCGCATCTTAGCCCATGGCATGTGTTGACATTTTTTGGCCCGCCCTTCTATTCAAAAAATAGGGGGAGGGCCTATGCATTTGCCTTTGTGTCTGTGTGTTGTTGTTGTTGTTGTTGTTGTTGTTGGCGTCTGTGTACAAGGAAGGAGTTGAGCTAGAGTAACCAGATTTGGAGGGTACTTCAGGAGTACCGTCCAAACAACTAATCCGGTGGTGCAAATCCCGTCCGGGTCGCACAAGGGCTGCTGCAGGTGCATCATGGTTTACATGAGCGGGAGGGGGATTTCCGCCATTATTGGTGCTAGCAGGGCACATAGGGGTATTTTTGGAATCGGGGCGACGAGACAAGATGAATGGACCTGGTCCCGACCCCATCGGCCGCTTTTACAACCCGGGTGGAAGGATCTTTAGTTAAACTGTAGTTTCAACTACAGTACCAAAACTGCAGTTCCCGAACTAAAGTTAGTTTTAAAAAGAAACTGAAGACTAATTACAATTCCACTTTGCAGTTGAAATTGTAGTTTTCTGTCAGTTCACAATGTAGTTTTAGTGTTGATTTGAAGTTCAGTTGGAGGTTCAGTTTAAGTTTCAGTTACAATTTACTTAATATCCATTTCTGGAAGTAAAGCGACTGCTGAAAATAAATATTCAAAAACTGTCTCTCATCTAGTATGTATCCGTACTTAGTATATATTTTAAACATATTCTCTTATCGACATACTAACGTTGATAGTTATGTCTCAAAACTAGTACGTTTCCATACTTCTTATGCAATCTTCTAGTTGTATCAAGTAAAAGTTACATACCACTAGGGGAACTCAAAATTACAGTGGCTGCTTCATTGCTTTTAAAGCAGTTGAGGTTTACGTTGAATTTTTTGTCGTCTCCCTTTAAAAAAAGTATCAGGTTAAAAGCAAACGTTTATGGTTTATAGCTAATACAGTTGGCTTTACTTTATATGGTATAGTTGTTCGCTGTTTAAAAATTTATGCAAGTTTCCCCTTTTTTAAAGTTAGCCTCCCTAAAGAGACAAAGTAACCTTAAGTCTGCGACAAGTTTACGTAAACTGACTTGTCGCAAAGGTCCAAAATATTTTGCGCTTACATTTTTTATACTGACAGTTTAAAATTAAAATTGGTCATAAAATGCAAGTTTGTCATGAAGAGGACTACAACTTTACATAGGATTACTCTAAAATTGCTTGTAGTTTAAAAGATGTAGAAAAATTCTTAGTTTTGATTTTTTTTTATTAAATCTAAATCAAAGTAATTCTGTTAAGTCCTTCATATACCCTTTTTAAAATAAACATAATATTACATGCTAGTTGTATTAAATAACACTTTCGTTGAGTGAAGTTGGAGCAAAGCATATTGACTACCGCGAAAATGGACACTTAGTGCATCATCCGCTAGGTGGCGCTAGTGTCGCATCATTTACGTCTTCGAGTTAAAAGTGTTCTTGCAGCCGATCAGGGGAATATTTTTGGATCAAACTCTGTGCAGGGCAAATATTTGAGATGCTATGACTCTACCACAAAAGGATTGACCTCGATAGGTGGAATATTAGGGAAATAACTTTGAGTACAACTTTCCTCTCGCGTACGGCTACGGGTCGTAGTTTGGTTAGGCTCCGATCGCTGTGCCCTCAAGTGCATCAGTCCTCGATGCGAAGAATATATTTTACGAGTGTTCAACTCCGAGAGGAGGTGACTCCACTCACGAACACCTTAGGTTGAAAACACCTAAGGTGGCAAAATGAAATCAGGGCTGAGGCTCTATTTTGAATTTTCACTCTCTTTTCGGAAACTGAACCCCAACTACTCTCTTTCTAGTTATTTCAAATGGCTTTTAAGTTGTTCGAAACTAAGGTTGAACTGCAGTTTGACTGCAGTTTAACTAGCACGAAAATGAGGGAGAAACTATAGTTGTTCCAAATAACTGGTAGTTTTTGCATAGTTTAACTGCAGTTTTACTGCAGTTGACTACAGTTTAACTACAATTTTTTTTCTCTTAAAAGTTACTTTTAACTTCTTGATTTTTTAAATTTTTTTTCACTTAAAACAATACATTTTACAACAGAAAAACTCCTGTTTTGTCATATAGTTTTAACTGCAGATCCTTCCACCCGGGAAGTTGGCCAGATCAGGATCTTCAAAAAAAGGGGTCGACCGACTAAAAAAATTTATTGCAGATTTCGATTCGTCTCAGCAAGACCTTTTCAACGAGGGGTCGGAAAGGGGGTCCAGGAGCCCGACTTCGTCTTTTAGTCACATCAGGATCATGAAAAAAGGGGGTCGACCGACTGAAAATTTTTACTTAAGTTTTGGATAGGTCTTGGCAAGACCTCTTCAACGAGGGGTCGGAAGGGGGGTCCAGGAGCCCGCCTTCATGAGTTATGGGAAAAAGTGCGACGGACACGTTTTGCGCTCCTGCTGTGCCTCTTTTGCAAGGAGTTGCAGTAGCATGGCAAATATGTGTATTTTCGGAATGAGGGCGAAGAGACCAATGAAATGGGCATATTCTAAGGACAGTTGGAGTAAAAAGTGTAAGGACTATTGCATATTGTGAATAGAAGGGCGGGCCTAAGTCACGATGGTACATCGATAACTTTGCTTTACCCGCTCACGGTGTGTGTGATGCGAGCGGGCCGAAGGCCCGGGCCTTCGACTGGCCAAGTTGGGTCTGATGCGAGGGCCGAAGGCCCGAGAAAAGGCCGCCGGCAGGCCAAGCTGGGCCGGCCCCCTGTCGAACCGAGTTGCCGGCGCAGCGAAGCGGAGCTGGCAACTCGGTTCGACGGAAGGGCGGGCCCTAGCTTGTTGTTTGTCTTGTTGAGACCCATCCATTTCTAGAAAGAGATGTCGATTCGGCCAATTTTAGAACTTCACCCTACCGAAATTGGACTGATTTTGATATTTTTCACACTAAATTCTTATGGACTTTTTAATGCATAGTTATGCATGCACAGATACGTCCATATGTTATGTATAATATTATGCATCACTGTGTACATTTTATGCAGGAAGACGCATAAAATGTGCACAGTGATGCATAATTTTATACATACCTTATGGACGTTTCTGCGCATGCATAACTATGCATAAAAAATGCGTCCTTATGCATTTAAAAAGTCTATAAGAATTTAGAGTGTTGACCCCACTTTTCTGCATAAAATGCAATGATTCAAGTGGAAATATTTGTGCTGCAACAATGATTCATAGCTCGTTGGAAAGGTAATTAAATTTCTCATCTTTTCAAACCTCAGGCGTTTTGATATCTCATCTGGTTTGGCGGCAATACGTGAAAAACCACCAATTTTGGCGTTTTGACCCAGTTTTGAGCCCTGCTCTGAAGCTGATACAATTTTTTCCGGATCAAATGCGACTCGTTAATGAACTTCTACTATCCTAGGGACCCCATTTCGCCAATAAAAACGGGGGGTCAGAAATTAAGATCCACCCTATTGGATAGTTTTGTCTGTCTGTCTGTGTGTCTGTCTGTCAGCACTACTCCTCCTGAACGGCTCGGGCGATCTGGCTGAGATTTTGCGCACTTTTTGGGTATGTCCTTGGCTCGGCACACGCGAAATTTCTATATCGTAGCTCAACTGGTTCAGTTTTTATAGCCGAAAAACACCTAAAAAACGGCGAAAAATCGAGTTTTCTGCCGGCAAATGCCTTCAGCCTTGAAGAAAGGGGGGTCAGGGGGGCAGAGCCCTCCAGCCCCGGCTAGTTGAAAAGTAACAAGGGTAGAGATCGTGTTATCTGTGGTTGCAGCAACTCTATCTGGAATGAAGGGGGGTCTGGGGGCTGCGGGGCGGAGCCCCCCAGCATGCAACAATTTAGAAGTAACCGACGATGGGCAAGCCATGGCCTGCCGAAGGCAGGCTAGCGCCGCAGGCCAAGGTAGGTACGCAAGGCGCGGATTGGAGGAACTGGCAGCGAGACATCGCGAAGCCTGTTACGACAAGACGCGGTCTGGCGTAAACCTACCTTGTAATGAAAATAACAAAAATACAAGGTAGGTTTACGCCAGACCGCGTCTTGTCGTAACAGGCTTCGCGATGTCTCGCTGCCTGTTCCTCCAATCCACGCCTGGCGTACCTACCTTGGCCTGCGGCGCTAGCCTGCCTGCGGCAGGCAATGGCTCGTCCGCTGTCTGTTATTTTTTAACTTGTTGAATGCTGGGGGGCTCCGCCCCCCAGACCCCCCTACATTCTAAATAGAGTTGTTTTATCTACAGATAACACGATCTTGACCCTTGTCACTTTTTTACTTGTCGAGGCTGGGGGGCTCCGCCCCCCAGACCCCCCCTCCTTCGAGACAGAGGTGATCTGCCTGCAGAAAACTCGATTTTTCGCCGTTTTTTAAGTGTTTTTCGGCTATAAAAACTGAACCAGTTGAGCTAGGATAGTGAATTTTCGCGTGTGCCGAGCCAAGGACATACCCAAAAAGTCTGCAAAATCTCATTGAGATCGGCCGAGCCGTTCAGGAGGAGTAGTGCGGACAGACAGACCGACAGACAGACAGACAAAACTATCCAACCCCACTGGAGTAACAGGCTTCGCTATCGCTCAGCCAATTACTTACCGAATGGTGATAAGACCTCAGCTGATTTACAACTGAATTCAGGGGTGAATTCTGCTGCTGACACGGAATGAGGGGGCATGCTGGTGCCTGGATTGGAGAACCACAAGGGTTCTTCAGAATGGCCACCAGCACGCACAGCATCATCTCGGTCAGCAGCAACAGTAGCACCATTGAGTGGTGAAGAGGCACCAGTTAGAGGACTAGCCTTGGAACTAGAGACGTGGTTAGCAGCCCCTGCCATGACAGGAACTGTACCAGGAGAGATAAGTAAGGAAGGACCCTATAGAGAAAGAAACACAAAGCTGGAAAACTTACCATCTGGCCACGAAGGCTCTTCAGTAAGAGGCTCGGGCAGATGCAGAGTTGGCTTTGCCCAGCTGCCCAGATAAGAGCGGTGTTCGCCATCAAAGTACTGAGAGTTGGTAAAGTGCTTAGGGCAGATGTATCTGTCTTGATGAATCTTAATGGGACTAAGGTTCAACAAGTCTTCATTTCCCGACACTGTCACGCAATGTTTCAGTCTGTAAAGGAGAAATTACGGTCAAAAAAGTTTACTTGTCATAGGTTATACAAACGAAAGATACTTACCTGCAAATTCTACGGGGGAAGCGGTGCATCATTTTCCCGTCTTCGGAGACGGAAGATGCCGTACACCCCGAAATTGCACATCTTCTGATTTTCGGAGCCATAATTTATGGCCCATAAAATAAACATGTGGAAATGGTGGAAATCATGGAGGAATGAGAGAATTCAAATTTCGTCTGCTCAGCCCTGTTCACAAGGTACAGGTTTACCTCGAAGCAATAAAAATCCGTGGCCTACTATATTTTTTCAAAACCATTAATTTTAAGCTTATAAGGTGAAAACTCATTAAAAAAATAAAAGTCTTGTTCATACAATGTGTTAAATAGTGACAAATTTTCCTTTAATTTGCTTTAAATATGATTTAACATCATCGAATAGTACTTTTGGCAAGTTGGCAAAATTCTTGATAAATAGTTTTGAGCAAATCGACGCGTCTTTATAGAATAATCCTAACTGTTAGAGCAGATCCAAGACAATCCTAACCGTTAAATCAGGTTTGTAGCGGATGACTTTATAAAGTCGATATTCTGCCACCAGCTGCCCCATTCTTACGAGGTAACGAGTACGTGAAATCGTGTTTTCCAGTCCCTGACTCAGCGGATAGCATTAACTCGGCCCGTTACAAAATATCGCAAATTTTTTTAGATAAATGTCGCGTTTGAACAAACCTCCATGTTTCACGACGATTTTAGGACTGGTCGTTTCTTTCTGTTCCAGATTTTTGGGGACGAGGCACTGCTGCACGGTATTGAAATCAGCGCCGCTTGGCACGCGCGCCACGTCCCGGTGTACCGCTACCATTTCGTGCTGGACGCCTTCAACGTGCTGTCTACCTTCCTGTCCATTCCGACGCACGTCCATTGTAAGGCGTCATGCATTTGTTCGTAAAATGAAGCAATGCTACAATGCCTCTATGTTCTTCGTAGTTACAAAGAATGTGCTTTGAAGACTTCACGGTTAAAACGGTTCCCAGTTTTCCCAGGAAATCACCTTTGTTCCTACCATGCGCTTTCTGGAAAAACCAGGAACCGTTTAAACCGTGTTTTTGGAGTGGGAGTGAGCAATCTGTTGTGTTTCTCGCTCATCTTTGCACTTCTTTTTCCAGTACCAGGTCATGGCGACGACATTGGCTACGTGTTCCACCCACGAGTCCTAGGAAACTCCAAAGTCCTTGGCAAACGTTGGCGAACAGGAATGGAACGGATGCTTGCTTTTATAACAAATTTCTGCTACCATCGGTAAGCTACCTTCATAATGAGGTATCAGGAGTGACGTAGACTGAAGGAAGATTGAGGTGGGAGTAGAACGTTCGTCAGCCAGGCGTTAATTATTTTCTCGTGGGAGATTGTTTACATCTCAGATATTTAATTTCTACCCTTCTTCCAAGAAGGGTACCTGTGCCTTATGTTGCCTCTAGCTGCGACTGGAGCTTCACGCTACTTTTCGATTGGTCTTTTCCAGCAACCCGACGCCCAACGTCACTGAGCACACCCCTGTCCTCTGGCCGCGCCAGGCCCGGGGCAAGGACGTATACCTGGAATTCGGCGACGAACTGACCGTCAGGCGAAATTTGTATCCCGAGCGAATGGAGCTGCTGACGAAGCTGTACAGTCAAATCACACGCCACTCAGTGTACCGAGTTCCTAAATGAAAGAGACCAAACTGGCGAACACACCTTCATCTCTTTTTCAATAAAAATTGCATTTGCTCTACCTAAAACCAGGGTGTCCCGCGAAATATGTTTGTCACATAATTTGGTAGATTCTGTGTGAACGGGACCAAAACGTAACATTAGTGCTTAGCTCTTTCACATTTTGAGCTCAATCCCAAGGGTCATTTTATGGGCAATTTCATGCTTTTTCAGATGCATTTTACCGATTGGTAAAAAGTTAAAAACTTTGGCTGCAATCGTGCGCGCAGTGACACCATGTAATTTTGCAGACCATTTTTGCATAGAACAGAAAACATCCTAATTCAATGCTAAAACAAAATATTTTGTTTTGAAAATGTTGTATAAACTTTCCTCTTTAAGATGTTACCTGTCGTTTGTCTCTGGCATTCATACTTACCTTTCTATTAACGTCCAAACAGGAGGTTCGAAAATCGTCAAAAGTACGTGCAAATGACGCTACTGCCCCCTTATGAGAAACTCAACAGGCATGGAGAGGCGCGAAAATCCAATTGGCAGGTCGAAGGACGGTTGATTCGAAGACGAAACGCGTTGATTCCATTTTTCGAATGTTTCGGTATCGAACCGTCGATTCCGTGAGCGAATCGAATCGAAACTACGCAGATTCGATTCGATTTCGAACAATGCGCAGAGCGATTCTCTCACGTTTCGGGGCAGTTTCGTTTCTTCTGACTCCTGTGCCCAAACGAGCGCAGATATCGACATGTGGTTTGTTTCTGATGTTAGGGAGGGCCATTACCCACTAAAGGCACACATTTCGAAAAGTTCACGTGCGTTGGATTGGTCGGTCTACCTAGCGTTTGGAATACCCTAAATGTAACTTCCGTGATTGTACCTAGAGAACATACTCGAACTTTCCACCCCCAGTATGGCGGTGTGGTTCGAAAATGCTGCCACTGACGATGGTGATTCGAAGCCTGGCATGTCTCAAGCTGAATTCAACTGAAGACCAATACGCCAGACTTCTTTCAAAGGTACTTATGCTGCAACGAAAAATATCCACCGCATATTCAATTTCACTACACAAATTTCGAAAAAGCACTCTGGACTCTCCCCAAGCTAAACTTTTAACTTTCCATGACATAACCCATCAAATTTGAGTCCCTGGGATATAATTGCTTGGGTCGCGAAAATCTAAGATGCTTTACACAGTCTCAAAGCGGGCTAGAGCATTAAAAAATAGCGTGTATCAACAATTACGTGTAACTTCCGTGGCACCCTTTACCCAATGTTGCAGCAGCACTAGGTGAAAAAATTTTCCGCTTAAATGTCGGGCTTAGAGTATCATTTGACCCCGGAACGACTTATAAGCCACAGCCGGCCCAAGTCAGCCGTTTAAGCCGACTTTCACACTTTGTAACTTCCGTGATAACGTAATTTCCGTGATCAAAACACCCACTCAAACGTTTGGGAATACCTTAGGGCTCATGTTTTTAGGAAGGTAGTACAAGGCCTTTACTATAAATACCATTGCCATAACTGTAGCACCCAATTATCAGAGAAACTTAATGGGATAATTCTCACTTTCAGCAAATCAGAGACGTCAAAACTAAGGGAGGGTGGGGCACCATGACCACTGGGACACCATGACCAGGGGCACCATGACCACCCCCCTCGCTCTCCGGAACTACATTGCCGACGGCAAGCGGTCGACCGGACTTTCGAGAGAATAGAATTCTAAATATTTTCAGCCAGAGCCCTACCTTCTAGCTTCAAGGGTACGACCATAGCACCTCGCCAAAATTTTTGTTACAGCGTTTTGGCTAAATTGGGCGTTTTTCAAATCTGAGATTTTTTTCTCACTCTCACATTTGAGGAGAAAAGTTCGATGTCTTAAGTTTTTCTCAAAATGTCGGCTCTCCGGCAAAATATCCAACATCACATTTAATTCTAAGTAGCTTTCTACTTGCTCGGGGAGCCTTAGAGTCGTAAACTGCATTGTGGGGAGCCATGACCACTTTTTAGTGGGGCACCATGACCATACATATTTGAGTGTTTTTTCTCATATTTTGGTCTGATAATGATTTATTTTCGTCGAAAATTTGCTGTTTGCTTCTGAAATTGTATAAAGGTTGAATAATTGCTGCAGAATAGATAGTTTTATCACAAATCGTGAATCACCAGGATGATTAAGAATGGTTCTGAAACTGAGACTTGAAATGGTAGTTTCTCTTGCACTAAATGAGCTCCAAACCGCAAAAGTTGGCCGCGCAGGCGATCCGTGGCTACTTTGCACCAAGATGGCTCTGGCATTATGAGAAACAGCATTTAATTCACTTGTTTGCAGTGTAGTAACCGCGATAATTTTCTTAAAATTTACCAAATTGAAATCTGCATACGAATTTGGATTCGTCTTAGCAAGACAAACATAAAATGTTAACACATGTCATAGCTTTGGATGTGAAATTTGAAAGCCTTAGAGCGTTAACTGTTTTAAACCGTTCATTTTAAGGCAACTTAGAACGTTTGATACTTCTAAGGTTTTTACAGTGTTTTTTAGTTAAGTTGACTGGCCTGATGGTAAGGACAGCGATATAAACAATTTCAATGAGAATACTGGTAGAAAGTACACTTATTTGGGCCAAAAAATTACTATGGTCATGGTACCCCATAGGTGACTACTTTGCGTTTTATTTTCTAAAGTGTTCTGTGAGCCTGCCGTGCATTGCAGACAAGTTCCAATGGGTGGAAGAGGTCCTTGGAGGTCCAATGAATCCCCTCATGCTGGAAACTTAACTTTTCGAACCTCACGGTGGAGTAGAGGGAGGCACAAAAAAAGTGGTCATGGTTCCCCACCCTGAACGGCTCGGCCAATCCGGCTGAGATTTTGCAGGGTTATTAGGTATGTCCTTGGCTCGCCACACACCAAAATTCAGCTTTGTATCTCAATCCATTCGGTCATATTAGCCAAAAAAAACTTAAAAAACGGCAGAAAAAAGATAACTTTTTAGGTACTTTCAACTTTTTGTCAAGTTTCAGATCGTTTCTTATGTTTTGGAGGCTGCTGATGACGAAAATAGAACCCGTTCGGACCCCCAACCGAAAGTTGAATCCCATTGGTGTAGATTTTGATGACCAAATGCTATTATTTGAGGGGATCACGCCCATTTCTACGGTCTGCCTAGGAAAGCAGTCTGCCGAAGGCAGGTTAGCGCCGCAGGCTAAGTAGGTGTATACGCCAGGCGTGGATGGTCGAAACTAGCGCAGCATCGCGAAGCCTGTTACGACCAGACACGGTCTGGCGTACACCTACCTTGTATTAAAATGAACATTAGCCCTCTAGTCAAGCCAGCAATAGTCGAAATGTCAAGGTGATGATAGAAAGCAGCAAGTTAAAACCACTTGATAGCTGCATCCCTTGCCGTCGTGTGTCAGGGTGAGGCACCGGCTCGCTCTGGAGAGTCATTAGGCTCGTGATTAACAACACAGTTTATGTA